CCCCCCCCCCCCTCTGCCATACATAATAAACGCAGTCTGTCCCCTTAAAGTGGTCCCTTAAAGTCCATATTTGTTACGTAAATAATGAGTAATATTAGTGAGTTTGTTTTCTTGCTAATCTGTTTGACCAAACATAGGAACGCGTATTCCAGACGTACAAGAAAGGATGGCTGATTCAGTCAACAACATCGTCAAATACTTTTACAAACCAGAAAAAGAGGTAAAACTAGTTCTTTTTAAATTTCTGCTTCAAAATCAAAGAAAACGAGAAGAGAACGCAATAGACCCTTTTCGAATCAGCCAAATACCGCTGTGTTCATTGATTACAGTCTCATTTACCCAGGGTTAGCCTCGAATCAGTGTCTAAATATTCACAAATACCGACGGTAAAGTAAAGAATGCACAACTTCAACAATACAAACACTTTGAAATTCCACGGACCTTCACTGGAACACATGAATATTCAAAATAATTCTATGCGCAATCGAGGCTATCCCTGTACGACAGAGTATTGGAGTATCGTGTCTTTAATATACACCTATTTCAGAAATCGTTGTCGCACCAAAAGCCTCAAGCAACAAGCCAAGACCGCAGAGAACGCCAGTACTTTTAGCTGTAATTAGTTTATTCATGGTGCATTTTCATTTATTGACTTCACAAATTGCTCCAAGCAAGGCTGCTTGAGATGATAATTAGTGTAGAGCTATAGCCACTTGCATGAACCATGAATAAATCAATTATAATTAAAAGTACCGACGTTCTCTGGAGCCTTGGCTTGTCACTTGAGGCTCTTGGTGCGACAACGATTTTCGAAAAGGTGTAAGAGTGTTGTATGAGGTTGAGCCGGATATACTGTTGCGTGCAAACGTTATTGTCGGCAATGTTTTTAAGTGACGTCACATGCACGTCATCCAAGCATATCACAGTATTATAGCCAGCGGCACACTAAAAAGCACCGGTTCGTTGACTGAGAATGACACGAACGAACGAACGAATAAGTGAATAGAAAGATTTTTCTAGAATGTTCTTTTGACAGTAATCATCACATCTCGCAATCAAACTTTTGTCAGCAACGTTTGCAGATCGTGTTCAATGAATTTTTCTCAAATGCACGCATTTTCTTCGTCACAAGGAGAAACCTTGATTTCTATGGTTTCTTTTTTAGCGAGGTAACCTGACGTATCTGTTGTGTGGTGATGGTGGTCTCTGTCAAGCTTTGGAACAGGTATAGTATCTTATTCCTGGCCTTCCCTCCCCTCCCTTTCTCTAACTTTACAATCCATAAGTAATTTAAGACCTCGAACTCGTACCAAGAGCCCACGTTCCTCTTGGTCAGCATCGAGAATGAAAAAGCCCTGCCGCTAGCTTGCAAAACCTAGTTCACACAAAAATCGTGAGCATAGGAAAAGATACAGCAAATTAGTATATTAACGTAACCGTAACTACCCTTTATGAATGGATGATTTCCTAGATGACACATCTGGAAGCCATTTCAATGTTACGGTATGTCACACCGTGTAGGGGATACAAGTCAGTATCGTATGTTTCCCACTCATGCGATAACCATTCTTATGGGAAGTCATTTCAATGTTACGGCATGTCAAACCGTGTAGGGGATTCAAGTCAGTATCGTATGTTTCCCACATGCGATAATAATTCTTATGGGAAGCCATTTCAATGCTTCGGCATGTCTTATGTGATACAAGACAGTGACGTATGTTTCCCGCTCATGCGATAACCATTCTTATGGGAAGCCATTTCAATGTTACGGTATGTCTTATGTGATACAAGTCAGTACCGTATGTTTCCCACTCATGCGATAACCATTCTTATGGGAAGCCATTTCAATGTTACGGTATGTCTTATGTGATACAATTCAGTATCGTATGTTTCCCACTCATGCGATAACCATTCTTATGGGAAGCCATTTCAATGTTACGGTATGTCTTATGTGATACAAGTCAGTATCGTATGTTTCCCACTCATGCGATAACCATTCTTATGGGAAGCCATTCCAATGCTTCGGCATGTCGTACCGTGTAGGTGCTGTAAGTCAGTACTGTACAATTCCCACTCATGCGATAACCATTCTTATGGGAAGCCATGCCAATTATATTGCTTGCTTTCAAGTAACTAGCAATGGAAACAATTAATATGTTTGTTTAATTATAAATTACATATTATTTATTGTAGGTTTTTCAGTGCGGTTTCAAGTCTTCTCGACTTTTTCGCAACAATTTCTTTATCTGGGATATTTTAGGTCAGTACTGTTCTTCAATACAGCACGTTCTCTTGTAGATTCTTCTTTTGTTAGTGCTTTTGTCTTGTGTCTCTTTCTGTAGATTTTTTTTCTTTTTTTTCTTTTTTTTCTTTTTTCTTTGTCTTGGAAGCTGTTTTTTATTGTTGTTTGTACTTTATTAACATCTTTTGTCGTTGCTGTCTGCTGGTACTTTCTTGCTGATGTTTTAATGATGATGTTGTATTTTAGTTGTATTTGTTTTATAAAACATTTTTTCTCACTTAACGACCACTTATCGAGCACTTATCGAGCACATACCGACCAATTACCGACCACTTACCGACCGTTTACCAACCACTTAACTACCACTTAACTACCACTTACCGACCACTTAACTACCACTTAACTACCACTTAACTACCACTTACCGACCACTTAACTACCACTTA